AAAAAAAAAAAAAGAAAAGAGAAAAAATGAAATAAACTATAAAACATACATTTGCTAGTCCCAACACCAGTTAAACCAGTATAGTTCACGAGGTTTTCTCTCTCATCCTGGTTCCTATTAAATAAGAAATTCAAAAGTGTAAATAAATTTATGAAAGGACAGGAGCTTTTCTATCTTAGTCTGGATGCAACATAAAGAACCCAGAGGCAAGTCTCACCATCCTTGAGCCTTGCTAGTGAAATGCAGTCCCATAACTGAACACATTGTCTCTTCTAGAACACAAACAGGACAGGGCAACAACTGTACTAACCTCTGAGTGAAAAGCTCTACTTGTTTCTTGAGACTACTGTAACAAATTACCACAAACTTGGTGACTTAAAAAAAGAGAGAATATTCTCTTGTAGTTCTGAGGCCTTAGTGGGGCAGGGCCGGTGCTCTCCAGAGGCCCTAGGGAGAATCCCGGCTTCAGGCATTCCTTGGCGGTGGCTGCATTTCTCGGCTTCACCTTGGCAGTCTTGTATCTTTGCGGATCTTCTCCCTCTGCCTCCCTCATGCAAGCATACATGTGATTATATTTAGACTAAGCCCCTCCTCTCAAGATCCTTAACTTAATCATGCCTTTTGCCATGTAAGGTGAAGGTAACAGGTTCCAGGAATTTGAAATACAGATATATTTTGGAGTATAGGGAGAATTTTTTGGCTTGCCACAGAAGCTGTTTGACCTAAGAGTAGGAGTTATTTTCTACGTGGAATTAGGATTTATGTGATCTAATCATAAACTTCACCTCCCTGCCACTAGAAGGCATATCCTGTCCAATGACACCAATCTGGTATTAGGGAGGCAGTGTGCAGCTTTAGAACCAAGAAAATCTGACCAGACATTGAGATGGGGTTCAGTAACCATTAACCCCGGGACAGGTATGAACAAATGACCCACTAAGAAAGAGCGGGTTTTAGTGTTTATTTTTGAGAAACCAATTTTGTACATTTGACTTATTTTCTTTCTTTAGCTTGAGAGTTACCAGCAAAAGTAAGGAGTCGGGGCTTTCTGACATCAGCAGGCCCACTTTCTGCCACTCCAGCTGCGGACACCTCAACAAAGGCAAACGCAGATTCACATACGACAACTCAGAGCTGGAAAAGAAGATCTCATGCTGCTCTCCTCCCCCAGACTACAACTCTGTGGTCTTATACTCCACCCCTCCCGTCTGAAGTTTGCCACAAAGCCTTATTTCTAGAAGCACATGTGTATTTATACCCCCAGAAAACTAGCTTTTGTCAGTATTATGCATATATAAGTTTACACCTTTATCCTTCCACAGGAGCCAGCTGCTTTGTATGAATTTTTAATAGTGCTTTTTGTTTTTTTGACTAACAAGAATGTAACCCAGATAAGTAGAGAAATAGTGAGACAAGTGAAGAACACTACTGCTAAAGCCTCATGTTGCTCACCGAGTTAAAGAAATCCTTTTAAGCCCAGGGCCTTACCTGCTGCACCCTGAGACCTCAGCACGTGTGGGACCACGATGCCTCAGGAGCTACACTGATCATGCCATGCTAAATGGACCCCATGGGGCCAGCCCCAGAGCCTAAGAGCAGGGGCGTAAGCCCTTTAGCTCTAGGAGTCACTAGCTGGCCAAAGCAGTGTCTCAGGAACCCTCTAGCAGGCATAAAACATGAAGGAAGGAAAAGGGAAAAAAGGACAGAGAAAACAGGAGAGGGCATGAGAAGGAACCTGAGACACACCCACGGGCAGGGAGTTGAAGGCTTTCAGCAATGCCATTTCAGTGGCTTCTCAACACTGACCTGCATTTGAGAACCCAGCCAGAAGCAGAGACAGGACAGAGATGAGGGGATATTTTCTGATCTGGGAGGCAAGAAAAGGACAAAAATTTTTGAAACTAAAACAAAAAATGCCCATTCCTATAAGTGACACATTTTGATTTAGCGCTCTTGAGGGTGGCACTGAGCTCGGAGCGCATACTGTTGATTCCTCTCGCAAGATACACCGAAACCTACCCAGAACTGGGTCAGCTCCACAGCACGGACAGCCTTACACTTAAAATGTCAAATTGTATTTCCAGCGTTGATGTCTAGACCAGCCACTTCATTTTTTGTATTATCCTGTGTTTTACAGTTAGTTATAAAAGAAAGCTGAGGGGAATGAAAGTGCAGTCTTTGAGAAGGTTTTCTTTATACCAAAACTAGGGTAGATGGAATAACAAATCAGTTAGACACAGTGAAAACCCAGCTTTGTACCAACCAAATCAATCCACCGAAGTAGTGGGGACCTAAAGCACAGAATCAATCATGTTCCCCTTTTATTTAATGGGGATTCCACTATGTCATGCTAATCTGGAAGGATGTGGAAGAGCATTAACCCATGTTTATTAAGCACTTTATGCTCCTTGAGAAAAAGGTGATATATAATTTATGCAAAATAGTTCTATGGTTGGGACTTAGGATACTAGTTAATGAGCCATCAATAAAAGAAAAGCCTATTTTCATCTGCTTTGGGACCTTGCCTCAGGGTCTCAGTTTGAAGGGAATAGGGTGATGGGGGAGGAGGGTGCCTGCTCTTCAGGGTCTCGCTGTCAGCGGCCTTGGATCTCTACCTGGCCCTGTTGGATGCTATTTATGCGAGTTATAGTCTGTTTATTTAGGGTGTACGTACCTTCTGCAGCCAGTCAGAAGCTGGACAGGCGACAGTGAATTGCTGCTTCTGGGAAAAAAAAGAGTATGCTTCCTTTTACGCATGTAACTTAGAATATATGTCTCCTTTCCTCCGTGCCACATTCCTGTCTAAAGGTTCTTTGTATGAAGAGGTGGGAAAGTCAGCACATTCCCAAGTGAGACAGTGGGTGCCCCATGGTGACTTTTCCAGAGGACTCACCAACCAGAAGAGAGGAGTGAGACATGCCTCTCCACTAAGAACTAAATTCAAACAAAATCAGGATAGAGCCAGAGGAAGGGAAAAATCTTTGTTCTCCCTCCTCTTTACAGACAGCTAGCGGTAGTATAAATCAGGTAACTAGGAGGAGGATAAACAGAGAAAATAAAAGAAGACCCCAGCCAGTTCTTTACTTTTTTCAAATCAGGTAAGGACCTGGCAAACAACAAAGAAAACCTACACTATTCATACAATGTCTTAATTTCAATAACCTAATATCTTAATCATGAGGAGACCTTAGTAAACAAATACTCTTCTTCCAAAAGAGAACAATCTATTGGAATTATGTTACTCAGCTTCTTCAAAGACTCTGGTTTGTAGCCTACATGAGTCATCAGTCAACACATAGTTCCAGTTGGAGTCTTACTGTAGAAATGAAAATGGAGGGTTGTAATAGAGAGTATGTATAGTTGCAAAGCGCTCATTCATTAAAACAGCACTGAAAATTAAAACACTAATTAACTGAATTAACAGGAGAACCACTTGCCATTTATGACAAAAATGGCCAGCACTAACAGCTGAAAGAACGAGCACTTTCTTTCAGGGCTTTTGAGAATGTGTGGCAGCCTGGGTGGCATGGGACCGAAACCACCTGCAAGTCTGTGTCAAGTCAGCTCAAGAAATGATGCTTAGATGTTAGCTTTAGCCCATGGGACGCATACCTTGTTTCCCAGCCCATAAGAATGTCAGACATCAGACACTTGCTAGCCCCATGTAAATCATTAAAGGAGGAATGCATCTTTGACCAGCAGTGGCAGTAACTATGTGTATGTATGTATGTGTGTGTGTGTATTTTGTGCAGAACTATTTAAGGAAACTGGAATTTTAAAGTTACTTTTATACAAACCAAGAATATATGCTACAAATAGATATAAGTGAGACATGATTTGACCCTATATTTCTAGCCATGGTGAATGTATTTTGTATACTATCTTCATATAATAAAATTAACTTCCAAAAACATGTACATATTTTCTCTCTGATTTGTGTGGAAGTGTGGAAGGGGTCATGGACATCCCTGGGGATGGGGGCCGTTCTAGGAGATCCCTGTACCCAATTAATAGACATACCACAAGAAGATAAAGTGAATACTGCCAAAGAGAGGAAAGAAGAGTTTCCTGGAGCAGCTGTATAAAATGGCTGCTCTAAACAATCAGAACATCACCAACGTAAACAAAAAGCAAAATCAAACTAGGCAGACTGCCCAGGAAACTAAACACCAAAATGAGTAAACAAGTAAAGCATACGCTGAGTGTCAGTGCTACAGATGACAATGCCCTCAATAAAAGCCACAGTCTTCCCCGAACACTAATTTTCAGCAGATAAACAATTACCATAATTACAGTGTGAGTGTTTGCATGTAAGTACACATGTGCATTAGAGATTGCATGTGGGAAACTGCACAAATAGGCAAAAGCCTGAAGCACAAGAACTTTCCCTAGGTCTTCTTCTCTTACTGTAACACTAACCACTAGATGCACAGTAAGTAACCAACACTTTGTCTTAGAAAGTGGTCATGCTACTGGCTTTACTAATGTCATGAAGAAACTGGATGGGAAAGACATTTTTTTGGGGAAAAATTAGGCCCACTTTCTTTGGGACAAAGATGAGAAAAAGGGATAAATGACTAAACTCAGTAAACTTTTAGTGAACCAAAGAGGGCAAGAGGCACTTTATCTTTAAGGATCTGAAATCCTTTTTTTTAAGAGACATAATTTTATTTTGTCACCCTCAGTAGAGTACCGTGGCATCACAGCTCACAGCAACCTCCAGCACTTGGGCTTAAGCGATTCTCTTGCCTCAGCTTCCTGAGTAGCTGGGACTACAGGTGCCTGCCAAAATGTCCGGCTATTTTTCTGTTGCAGTTTGGCCAGGGCTGTGTTCAAACCCGCCATACTCGGTATATGGGGCCAGCACCGGGGCTGGCGCCCTACTCACTGAGCCAGAGGCACTGCCCAGGATCTGAAATCTTTAGTTTTTGGTCGAGGCTGGGCTTGAACCCACAACCTCCAGCATATGGGATCAGTGCCCTACTCCTTTGAGCACAGCTGCTGCCCCAGGATCTGAAATCTTTAAAAAAATTTATTGGTTACCATAACCTAAGAGTAAAGCCACTCATTTAGGCAAATGATTTGAAAAATGCTTGAGGAATTTGTCATGTCAATAGTTTAAAATTTTTCTCATGACTCTGGAAACTTATAGTACATTTGGGAATTATTTTCTCCTCCAGCAGAAAGACAGCCTCCATCTACCATCCAACTTCTCTACTCCTCTTAACAGCAAACTTTTATGAACGAGTTGGTTATACTACTTGTTTCCAATTCCTCTTTTCACTCATTCTTTAAGCTGCTCTAACCTAGTTTGCATGGCTAGTGCTCCTGACAGAGTTATCAGCGACCTCCATATGGCTAAATCCAATAGCAAATTCTCAGTCCCAATCCTATTATTATTATTTTTTTTTAGAGACAGAGTCTCACTTTGTTGCCCTTGGTAGAGTGCTAAGGCATCACAGCTCACAGCAACCTCCAGCTCTTGGGCTTAGGCGATTTTCTTGCCTCAGCCTCCCGAGTAGCTGGGACTATGGGCACCTGCCACAACGCCTGGCCATTTTTTTTGTTGTTCCAGTTTGGCTGGGGCCCGGTTCGAACCCACCACCCTTGGTATATGGGGCCGGCGCCCTACTCACTGTGCCACAGGCACTGCCTGCAATCTTTCCTTTTTTTTTTTTTTTTTGAGACACAGCCTCAAGCTGTCCCCCTGGGTAGAGTGCTGTGGCATCCAGCTCACAGCAACCTCCAACTCCTGGGCTCAAGTGAGTCTCCTACCTCATGCTCCCAAGTAGCTGGGACCACAGGCGCTCACCACAACGCCCAGCTATTTTTTTGGTTGCAGCCATCATTTGTTGTTTGGCGGGCCCGGACTGGATTCAAACCTGCCACCTTAGGTGTATGTGGCTGGCGCCTTAGCCACTTGAGCCATAGGCGCTGAGCCGCAATCTTTCTTTTTTTAGACAGAGTCTCACTATGTTGCCCTCGGTACACTGCCATAGCATCACAGCTCACAGCAACTCAAACTCTTGGGCTTATGCTATTCTCTTGCCTCAGCCTCCCAAGTAGCTGGGACTACAGGCGCCTGCCACAACATCCAGCTAATCAGTCCCAATCTTGTTTGGACTTCTGGGGCTGGGTGTGGTGGCTCACACCTACGTATTCCCAGCTACTTGGGAAGCTGAGGCAAGAAGAATGCTTGAGCCCAAGAGTTTCAGGTTGCTAGGAGCTAAGATGCCATGGCATTTTAGGGAGGGTGACAAAGTGACTCTGTTTCAAAAAAACAGAACACCACACTTTCCTCACTTTGATTACAGGCCATGACACTTCAGTATTCTTTTACCTCACTGGCTACTTTGGTCTCTTCTGTTAGATCCTTCCCTGACCTTTTAACATCACTCCAGTTATCCCATGGCTGAGTACCCTGGGAACTTTTTTTGTCAGTCTATACTAACTCCCTTCACAATCTCATGATCTCAGGGCTTTAAATGGCATCCATATGACTTTCATGTACAGACCAGATCTCTCCCCTAAACTACAAATTTGTGTACATAAATATATAAATTTAAGTGTAAACTGACATCTCTTGATGCTCTGGCAGACTATTTTTTGAAGCCAGCTACACCACTATCTCCTATCCCACATGACCCTTAGAATGGGTAAATCCAATAGTCAAGATGGATCAAATTTGCTGCCCTTAGAATTAGTCTTGTCATTAACAGAATGAGACAGAAGTTGACACTGCATTACTTGAAGGCCAGGTCAGAAAATATTGTGCATCTCCCACCAGAGTCTCTCGATACACTTATTCTGCAAAAGCTCCCACTAGGGACTCAGATGCTGTGCTTACAAAGGCCATGTGTGTGCTCCCATAGAAAGCAGCCAGGGGAGCCCTGTCTTCACAACCATTGGAAATTTCCCAGCTGAGGCCCCCAACACAATGGAGTAGAGACAGCCATCCCTGCCTTGCCTCTTCCAAATTCTTGAGTGAAACAAAATGCTTCTTTCATGCCATTAAGTTTAAAGCCATTTGTTACAAAATCACACATAAATGTGTACTAAGTATTTCAAACTTAAACAGGACAAACTCTTGAAGGAGCTAAGGAAATTTCACCCCAAATATAATTCCTTGGTATAAAGAATATTTAAGTGAAAAGGCCATTTTTGATCAGAAAGCACTGGCCTCTTCTCTATAAAACCTGAATAATGTGATTTAAAATCAAAAAAGGGGCTGCTGGACTCCCTTATCACATAGACCTGGCCCTAAGATCATTTGAAGCAGGAGACATGTCTCTCTCAGGTTAATCTGCAAATTAATCAGTTTCCACCCTTCAACACACATTCTCCCCAGCAACCAAGTGCTGCCCTGTATACTTTCCCCCTTCCCTTCTGAAAAGGCTTCTTTAAAAGCCACTGACAATCACTGTGATTTTGGGAAATTATTCTTGTGGTTCCCCCCATGTGCATATTTGGAAATAAGCCTTTCTCTTATTAATCTACCATAACTGTGAACTGACCTTTTCAGGGAACCAATCAAAGGGAAGGACAGGCTTCCCCATGACCCCTTCACTCTCAATTTCTATCCCCACTTCCCCAACCTCCCTGCCCCCCATTCAGTAGAATCCTCCAACCTATCAGCAGCAAGCCAAAATCACAAGTCTTCACGATTTCTCTCTTCCTTTCTTATTCCACATCTAATAAATAGGATATCCCCATTATATCCCCATTGTCTGTATCTTGATAAGCTGACCTAATTTTCATAGACAGGATCATATACACCACATGTACTAAGGCCTAGTTCCTTATTTTGATCGTCTCTGTATATTGGCCAGTTTTTTACAGTCCTTTGGGTGGTCAACTTTCAGAGGTTCTCCTGTATTTGATCAATTAATGAATTGATCTACTATTTCATCCTAAAACAAAACTTCCTAGAAAATACATAGGAAATATACAATCTTTTAAAACCCAACTATTAAGGGCTTAAGTCCTTCTTCCACCTCCCCTTTGAAAACAAAAGACCTACTGCCCGCCCCCTCTCCCCAGTTCCATTGGAAAGATTCTAACCCACCAAAACCTTCCAGCAACCTATGGAATCTCTCTCCCACTACGCCCAGTATAAAATCAAGCCCTCAACCACTCTTGGCACAGCTGCTCAGGCAGGTCTCAGTCCCTTTTTATTTTATTGACAGTCTCAAGCTGTCACCCTGGGTAGAGTGCTATGGTATCACAGCTCACAGCAACTTCAAACTCTTGGGCTTAAGCGATTCTCTTACCTACTACAGACGCCTGGCCCTGGCTTGGTTTGAACTCACCGGCCTCCATGTATAGTGGCCAGCGCCCTACCCACTGAGCTAAACTTGGCCAGAACCTCTCTTGGTCTCGTCTCTTTGTACACCTTTCTGAACCCCTTTCACTGACCATAAAACAAACATTATGTTATATAAACTAGTACCAAAAAAGAAAAAAGACACATTAATCTCTGTAATTCTTTATTAAAAATACTGCTGTACACATAGAGACCGAAAACAAGATTAAAGATGAATAACACAAATTGGGATCATGACGTTAGAACTTAACGACTTAACGTACTGGTGCTTTTTAGGGAAGTTGCTGACATCCAAATCACAGAACCAAGGTCAAAAGCAAAATACAAAGGTACCCTCAAAAATATTTACAATGAAGTAAATATACTAACAGAATTTAAAATAGGTACAAAAAATTGAAATGACCAATGTTACATGATTTCAAGGGTTGTCCTTTCTGTGCTTTTATCTGTCATAACAGGAAGATATGTAAGTTTATAACCTTAATTTGATTATCCTCAGATATTAAAATCTTCCTATGAATTAAAAAGACTTTTAGACAACCTCTTAAATGGAATTACACTATGGAAAAGAGGGCTCCCCCAAAAAACAC